GGAGGAAGGAAGGGACAGAAGGAACAGAAACCCCCAGGAGGGGTGGGGGTGGGGGCCCGAGGCTGCTGGCATCTTCTCCTTTGTGTACCCAGCTCTTATCCTTTCTCCTTGGGAGGTCTTTCCCTGGCTGGAGTTATTCCTGTTATCTGACCCTGGGAATCCAGGAGGGCTGGAGGCCTGGAGGCCTGGGAAGGGCACTACAGGGATTCATATCGTGAATCACTGTCCCTCGTGACTCTTTCTCAGGCACTGATGGTGAATCTGGGGTCTGACCGATTCATCCGACAGGTAAGAGTGGGACGCTGCAGAGCATGGCCTGACCCAGGGTGGGTGCTTGTTTGATGCAGAGCACCCAACACTGTCACACACACGACTCCACCTTCACAGCCTGATTGTTGAGCCCTCTGGGTTCCACATTCACAGAACAGACAAGGGTAGAAAGAAGCTGGTCTGAGAAGTCTTGACCTCAGCAGGATCTGCTGTTCTGGTCGGCATCGTCAGCTTCTGGAAGGCAGTGTGAGTGTGTGAAGAACATGGCCTGGATCCAAAGGCTTGACCTCTGCCCCCTGCCCCCTCTGAGACACATGATCTTGAACAGGCCTCTGAACTTCTCTGAACCAGAATTCTCATCTCTAAAACACGCATGGTGATAACACCTGCCTTGAAATGTTGCTGGAGGATTATACATGACACACAGAATGCAGTGGAATGTAGAGGTTTGCAATCATTGTCAACTTCAAAAAGCCTCTGTTGGTGGTGGAAATCCTCCTGGCTCTCTATAAAGGAACACAACCCAATGCCGTAGCCTTTGGGAATGTAGTGTTACACACCACTGACAGAGCTACGACTCCTGGGTACGAACGTCACGATGCAGACACTGAACCAGAATACAGAGACAGGCACAACAGCCTCGCCTCATGCCTGAGACACAGGCTGGGCCACAGTCTCCCCTCCCCCAGCCAACCGTGCTTCCCCCCTGGAGCCGAAGATGGAGGAACTGGGGAGACTTCATCGTGGTGCTGGGGTAGGAACCCCTGTTGGTCCTGGGCAGTGAATGCCACCTGCTCCACCACTTTTTATCTTTGTGATCCTGGCCAAGTTTCTTAACCTCTCTCTGAGCCTCAGCTTCTTATCTTAAAATGAGGTTGATAATAGTATCAGGGTCCTTGGGAGAATGAAATGAGATTATATATTCAGGCTTTTCAAACAGGGCTGGCACGAAGTTAAGTGCTCAGTCAGTGTCACTGTGCGGTTTCCTTCTCCTGCAGATGGATGACGAGGACACGTTGTTACCTAGGAAGTTGCAGGCGGCTCTGGAGCAGGCTCTAGAGAGGAAGAATGAACTGATCTCCCAGGACTCTGACAGCGACTCCGATGATGGTGAGTGAGGCTTGCCCCAGGCAGAATCAGTTCTGGTCCCAGACTCCCTCTGCTCTGGGCCTGGGCCTGGGCCTCATGGTGCTTGGACCCTGATTCTATGCACCAGACCCTTCTGGCTAGTGAAGCTCAGGTATAGGACCTTGGTCTCACTTTAGCCTAGAATTCTCTAGCCCCACTAGTGTGGCTCTAGGAGTTGTGGCTTGACTGGGTCTGAGGGGAGAGAAATAGTGTGGTATTTTATCAGAGGGAGTTCAGAAACTTAAACATTGGGGCTGCTTCTAGGGTGGCCCAGGCTACAGAGCTACCTCTTGCCTCTAATTCTCTACCTCAGGAAGTTTGGGGAGAAAAACCCTGAAGACAGTTGGCAACCGCAGAGACTCTTCTCGCTGACCGGACACTAGTTATTCCTCCCTCTCAGGCCCTGCCTCGAGCCACTGCAGGAGATGGAGGGAACTTCCTCTTCCTGTGAAGCCAGGGAAACCACCGAGGGTGAGGGTGTGTGGGGAGTGGCGCTCTGGTCCCTAATCTCCATCTTCATTCATCCAGCAAGTATTCCCCAGCTTCCGTGTTCAGAGCACAGTTTCCGACCTCCTGGCTCAGGAACGAGTTACAAGCCTGGGAGCACAAGAGCTAAGGTTTCAAGAACAGAGAAATGGTTCTGGCTGAAGTTCCGTCGAGGAGAGGGAGACACCACCAGCTGGAGGCTGGGGATGCAGGCTCTTGACCTGAACCTCAAAGATTTTCTCTTCTCTTCCAGAATGTAATACCCTCAATGGGCTGGTGTCAGAGGTGTTTATCCGGTTCTTTGTGGAGACTGTTGGGCACTACTCCCTCTTCCTGACCCAGAGTGAGAAGGGGGAGCGGGCCTTTCAGCGAGAGGCCTTCCGCAAGTCTGTGGCCTCCAAAAGCATCCGCCGTTTTCTTGAAGTTTTTATGGAGTCTCAGATGTTTGCTGGCTTCATCCAAGACAGGGAGCTAAGAAAGTGTCGGGCAAAGGGTAAGGCCAGAAAAGCCTGGGATGGGGGGTTCTGGGGGGATGTCAGGAGTCCTCCAACTTTTCTGCTACCGCAGGGCTGAGTAGCCAGGCACTGGTGAGCTTCCATCAGGAAGCTCTTGAGTTATTAGCCAGGGCAGGCCTCCTAACATCCCTTTTCTTCTGAGAGAGACTGCCAAGGGCACCTTCTCCTCCTGCCCCAGTACATGCATTCACAAGCCTGGGCACAGGCTGGAGCCACGCGGCAAGAGTGGGGCTTATGTCCACCTATCCCCGCAGCATTCACAGGTCCTTCCTTACTCAGAGAAAAAGACCAGACTGTGCAGTTTAGGGAGTCCTGAGAATCCAGGGTTGAGAAAGCCCTTGAAGAGAACTGAGCTAGCTCACTGTCTTAGGTTGGTGACAGTCTGCCCTCAGAGTACAAAGGTTATCTTATCTCTGTTATTTCATCAGCTCTGCTCACTCTAGGGCTTTTTCATCTCATCAAGACCTTTCTAACCTCAGGGTTATTATTTCTTCTGCCCACTAATACTGTCCATTTAGTGTAACAAACCTTTTGAAACAACATGGTAGTGTGGTCTAAAAGGAGCTGGAGAAGGTGTCCACTTGGGGGCAGCTCTGATACGAGGAGTGGCATCCTCACCATAATGCAGCTCAGGAACGTGCACTGGGAGGCAAGGGGCTCTTGCCATCAGCAGTGAACATGGGCCAGTCTGATGAGCCCAGTCTGAATGGATGAGCCAGTCTGAATTCTGGTAGGATGCTCTTATAATTGCAGACCTTTGGTTTCCCCCTTTTTGGGATCTGTGCCCTTTGGTCCCCCTCCAGGAGGCCTCCCCTTCCCTTCCTCCAATGACTGTTCTCTTCTCTGTTCCTGTTTCTCCTCTTCCCCAGGCCTCTTTGAGCAGCGAGTGGAGCAGTATTTAGAGGAACTGCCAGACACTGAGCAGAGTGGAATGAACAAGTTTCTCCGCGGTTTGGGTAAGTAGGTTTGTCACTAATGAGACATATTCAGCAAGAAGGGAGGGACTGGGGGAATCTGTACCCCAAACTACTCTAAACCCATGCCAGTGGGTATTTATATCGGGGCCGTAGACAGAACAGGAAGAGATCTCATAGAGCCTCACCTAGGTCAGGTCTTCCTGGGTGCACTCCTTCCTGAGTGAGCGCAAGGGCCATTAGGACCAGTGAGCTTTCCTCGAGGCTATAAGGGGTATAACTACAAAAGTGGCAGCACCAGAGTGCCCTTCAAAGAGCTGAGCCGACTAAATCACAGCATCATAGCATGTCTCACTTTAAAAGGAAAATTGAGACCGAAGAAGTTAAATGGCTTGCCCAAAGCCACACATGATTAATGCCAGTGCTCTAATTCGAGCTCTAGAGTGTTTTCACCATCCTGGATCATACCTAGCTGTAATCCAGTCTTTCTAATCCTTCTCTCCCACTGAGAGGGTTAGGGCTGTTGGAAGAGATGATACTGAAACATTCTCACTCTTGCCCTCCTCTGGCCCACAGGCAACAAAATGAAGTTCCTCCACAAGAAGAATTAAGCCCCCTTTCCCAGTAACAAGAGTCCAGTGCCTTGCAGAGCCTGGAGCCTGGGGAGGGGGCCCAGCCTTGGACCCTCTGGGCTGCTATGGCTGCTCTGCCCCCACAGACCCCACCCTCCAAGCCAGCCCACCTCTGCCTTCACAATATCCCAGGATACTGTTTGTAAATAATCTGCTGTAAGCTTTCTTATCTGTTTCTGTAACGAGCAGAGAATCCGGTAAATATTTGTGTATTCCCAAGAGGCCGGGTGCTTTCCTGCCCTGCCCAAGCACGGATGAAGTTTTGCTGGGTGCTGGCGACTGGCCAATTATGTGCAGCTGACTGTCTCAGCCGAACCACTGATCTTCCCCTGGAGGCTCCTGGCCTGCCTGCCTGCCTAAGGCCCCTGCTGCCAGTCTCGGGCCCTGGAGAGCACATGCTGTCTTGTTATGTACAGGACTATTTTTTTTTAATCTTAGAGTTTCTATTTTTTTCTAGTAGTCCCCCTCCCCTAATCCTCTGTTTCTGAAAGGCAAAGGCCAATCAACCCCCGTTTGCAGCATGGTACCAGGCTCTTGGGCCTGGCCTTCTCCTATTCCTCCCACCTTTGTGATGGTCAGTGAGTCATGGGAAGCCCACCCCCCAGCTCTGCTAGTGTTCTCTGGGCCCGGCTCCCACTCAGTGGTGGCCATGATGCGGTACAGGGCATCCCTCCTTCCCATCATCTACGGGTGTTCTCAATAAACAGTGTATAGTTGTTAGGGCCCAGAGCCCCATGTGTTTCTTGGCTTTATTATCTAGAGTTCTCTCTCCAGGGGGATGGGCTGAGGCAGGCCCATCAGGGATGAAACACCTTCATGCAGGGAACCGAGTACTTGATTTAAGAGTTTAGCTTTAGTGTGGGTCACTGACCTCCCCTGAAATTGAGTTCTCTGGCCCGAGCTGTATGACTGCTCTTAGAAGATACCTAATCATTGCTCTAGTTCAGCTTCCCTCTCCAACAGCTAACTGTTCAGATCCTATGTGTTTCCAGTGATGGAAAGAATGTTCATTGCCCCTTGGCTCCACTATTAGGTGAATCTTGACATTTTCCTATTCAGTATGAAGCCCTTAAGACATCATTGGGTATCTTAACATTGGTGGAGTCAAGCCCAGCTAAAGCCAATCCAGGGCTGGCTTATAGCCCAGGCCCATTGTCTACGGCTCTTCCATGTCACTCTGTGAAGTTTTTTTTCCATTGGAAGTCTAGGTGTGCATATAGAAAATTCTGCTATATTCCTTGGAAAAGCAAGGAGAGAAGCAAGGTGGGGAATATGGGTGGCTTAGGCTTTCCACTCACCCAAGGCCTTCACAGAGCTGAGACCTTGAAAATTCCCAGGGTGAGGCATTAAGCTGGAAGTCTCTTCATTGGTATTGGCTTTGAGTCTGGTGGATTTGAATCATAGAGTGAAGTTTTCCTGTCCTTCCACCTTAGCCTGCTTGTTAAACAGGAGACGATCCCTTTCTGAATCCCCTTTCCTTCTTTTCCCCATCTCCACTGAGCCCTGCACAGGTCCCAACCTGTCCGTGGTTTGGGGTTGCTGTCTGCCCCATAAAGCAAAGTAGAGGGTTTGTCTTCTGGGAAGACAAATTCGTCTTCTCCTCTGAGAAAGCCTCTTACATAGTTGGCTTTGGCATCTTCCAGGAATAGGAGGGCAGGGATTGAGGCCTCATGAGTCTGGGTTTTCAGCTGAGGTAGAGAGAGAAGACAGTGGTTATAACTGGAAAGTCCAGAGTAGGGTGTTGTTACCTCCAGAACTTGTCACTGTTAACTCAGCCTGGGCTTCATGAGTCATAGAAGTGGATTCCTTAATAAAATAATAGTTTACAAAAGGTGCTATTTCTTTCTCCTTTCCTCTCCCTCTCCTTTTTAATGTGGCTCCACAGAATCCTCAGACATGTGATCAGATCACAAGGTATATAGGTGTAAATTATTATTTTTAAAAATCTGTAACTTGTATGTAGCTTTAAAATACAGTGCATTTTAACCCTAGGGGTTCCCGCCTCCTCCCATGGCCACAGCTCTCATCCCAATCTAGAAAACCGATACTGGCACACAGTGGCTTGGAATGGGCTGCAAGGGCCCATACAGTGACTGCTCTGTGCCTCGCCCAGAAGTCTCATCTGGAAGGTAGAGGAGGGTGTGTCCAGGGGGCCTGGTTTGGGGTTGACAAAAAGTATTTAGGGCTTCTTTCCAAGTTCTGCTTTCACGTGATCTCTGGACACCTAAACTGATGATTCTCAATCCTAGCAGATGCAACACTCTTTCTCTATAGCAAATACTGTTAACTCTCCCTTTTACTATCCTGAAATGAAATTCATAGATAATGTAACCTACCTAAACACATCTTAACTGTAATATAGTCTTAACCATAATATAAAAGGGGAGAAATAAAAGGAAAAGTATTTTGTCATAAAATAACATGTACTTAAAATATGTGAATGCTTGGGCACAACTGTATTATAAGATACAATTAAGTCAGATGCTTACGCCCGTGCACAGAATTACTGTGAATGCAACAGCTACGCATGCAGAAAAAGTGTGTCGAATTAGCAACTCAGATTCTACTAAGTGGGTGTTAACCACTTAGTAAGAGAGTTTTCTGAAATGAACAATTGTTGGCAATATTCTAAACAAAACACATTTTGAGCTTCCCCTGATTTAAACAATAGCTGGAATCCTGGAAAACTGAGAAGTATATGAAACCTGCAAAAAACAAAAACAAAACAAACACAAAAAACCAATAACACATCTTTTTGATTCTGATTGTGTGTAAAATGAAGGTAGGTTCTAAGCTAGGTTTTCCTTTGCTGTTTAGAGCAGCGGTCCCCAGCCTTTTTGGCACCAGGGACCAGTGTCACGGAAGACAGTTCTTCCAGGTAAGGGGTGGGGCTGGGGGGTGGCTCAGGCAGTAACGTGAGCGATGGGGAGCAGCAGAGGTGGCTTTGCTCACTTGCCCACTGCTCCCCTCCTGCTGTGTGGCCCAGTTCCTAACAGACCGCGGACCCCTGGTTTAGAATCAACCCATACATTGCAGGACATCAAGCATCTCTGGTTGCTTCCCTTCCATAATTGTGACCAAAAATGCTCCCGTACCTTTACAAAATGCGCCCCACCCCCCCGAGGATGGTGCCCACACTACCGAAAATAACGGTGCTTAGACAGTGCCTTTCTGGGAAATTGCTCAGGGGCAGCTCAATGCTGTCTCCTCTACCAGAAGTCCCAGTGCCTATGAACTGTCAGCCCTCCTCCATTCTGGAGTTAAGAAAGGCCCTGGGGTTTTCTCCAGTAATCGGTCTGGTAACTTTTAGAGCAGGGCAGGTTGTGCCATTACATCTTTCTAAATGCTCTTTTCAGTAAATTACCATGCTCTGGTAAACACAGTGTTGAAATGAGAAGTATGGGCTTTTTAAAGGCAATATTTTGGAATGCTCTTGGAAAGCAACTGTGGTTCACGCTGGATGGTATGTGGAATTAGGACCCCAAGAAAATTATTCTAATTATATCACAGATCAGTTTAAATTTTGTTAAAAATACCCTTTGTTTTGCAAATAAGACTTATAACTCACCTTGTACCCCAAAGGACTGATTTATAAGGATACATAAATTGGGGGTTGTTTTTTTTTTAAACCAACTTTAAGTGGAAATGAAAGTAAAACAAAAACTGGGCTGCAAAACAGAGCTAGAAATGAAACATACACTTAACCTATTCTTCCTAGGGGCGACACACAAAATTAGTTTCTAGAGCCACACAGTGTGGCATTCCAAAACATCTTGAATTTACTTGCCTATGGGCTGTGGGGGTGGGTGTAATTTAAAAGGTCATGAAGTTCTAGAATAAGAGAAAATATTACTTTTCAGCACTGACAAGCTACCATAACTTGTAGTTAAAGTTGTCTATTTATATTGCTTTTTAACGTGAAAGTAATATGCATTTGGTTAAGGAAGAAACAAACTGTACCAAAGCACACATCATCTTCCTCACCTCCCAAAACTCATGAGGAAAAAATCCCTTCTGCATTGTTCTTCTAGAACCTTCCCATGCACGTACAAGTTTTTTTTTTTTTTAATCCCAAAGTACCTCGAACACTCATTATCTTTTAACGGCAACGTAATCTGAGAGATATGGAAATTCCCATCTTGAAAGTGCATCAAAAGGCCACAGCTTCTCTTCTTCCGCGCAGCCAAAGCGGAAATTGAGTGCGGCGAGGCTGGCGACGTAGGCTGTGCGCCCACCACGCCGCACTTGGACACTGGCCGGGTTAAACCTCCCGCCTCGTCCGCGCGCCACGGGCCGGCCCCGCCCCCTGCCGGAAATGGCGGATCGGCGCCTATCATGCTTCCGGCCCTGGGGTGGGACAGAGATCAAAGTGACGCCGGAACCAGAACCTCACACCCTTGGGAAGTGGCTCAGCGGCAAGGGAGAGGAGAGCGGCTGTGCGGTGCGGACGGTTTGAGTGCGACAAGGACGTCGGGCGGTAGGGACCAACGAGAGCGGCTGCTAGGGCGCCAGCCTCCACAGGGCTCCAGCCGCTGGCATCCCGGTAACCTCCCACCCCGCAGCGCAGGTACGCGAGCGCTGCGAGCGCTGCCTGCCTCCGGCCGGTGGTGCACGCCTTTGGCTGCTTTTCATCCCGGGTTGGCTGCTACTGGGCTAGTTAGCCATCGCATAGTCATATTTATTTGAATTGAAAAGTTAAAATCCTATTTAGCTGGTTTTGACAATGAGGGCTTTTGCAAATTATGTGGCGGACATTTTCCATAAATTGGAAGTCACAGTGGCAGCTCCGAGGTTTGAATAACAATGTATTTAAAGCACATACATTAATTATTAGGCTAGAAACATACTTAGCAATTCAAGCTGATAGAAAATTTAGCCGTTAACCTTTGTTAGGGGGCACCTGTTAAGTTACGGGGCACCTGCTCCCCCTACATGGGAGAATCTCATCAACACCGTGCACTTGCCATCGGCCACTGAAGAGGCAGTGGCAGTATGGGTCTCTGTGCCTACCGGACAGGCTAATCAAAGCTCGACAGTCTAATGCATCAACTTTTCCTATGCATCGGCTATATTTGGTATCTCAGCATTGGCACGTTTCACTCTCAGATATAAAACCAAAGCGTAAGGTTTGCCTTCGGTCCTATGAAAGATAAGCACTTGCTCTAGGTCCGTGTCCTCCATTATCTTGCACATGTTTGGCTTTTCACCAGTAACCCAGCTTCCTTTGGCAACAGTATTACCTGGGAGTAATCAGAACATCTGCCCAGTTATCACCTGTAGATAATGGTGAGTGAGCAAGCCAGAACATGGCAGCTCACACAGATCAGCAGCTATACTCCTGAGGCATCCTCCCTATTCAGAATGGCTGTACTAGTGACTTTCATATTTAGCATGCATGTCCAACAGCAGCACCTCCATATAGGATTGGGATGAGCATTATCCCATCCAGTTTCAGGATAGTTATACTGCAAGGTTCTAGCAATGAAACCTTGGAAGAAGCTAGCCATAAAGGGACTACTGACCACCTATCCTCCCCCTAAACCATATTTTGCTGCCAGCCCCACCCCAATTCAGTCACCAAGTCCTGTCTGTCCCTTATGTCTTCTGAATCCTGTCTTCCATCCTCATGGTCCCCCCTCCAGCCTTCCACTGTAGCCTTGTGCCCTTAAACTACAGCCGGGCCAGAATAACTGTTCACTCCATGCTCATCTCCCATATAACACCTCCCA